TTACTACTGCCCTGAAACATTGTCTTAGTTCACGTAAATTGAGTTGTAAATCAAACAGAGGGTTATTTATTTGTAGGTCCTATTTATAACAGGTTTGCATGAAAGTCAAAAGATGCGATTTCTTAGTAAGTTCTTTAGTAGTTCTTTTTTTTATCAGTTTGCATTATTTGATGTGGATTTTTTACTATAAAAACGCTACGATACAACACCCAAATTCGTTATTTTGTCAAGAGGTTCATACTGTAAACGGGAATGAAAGAGAAATTCAGGCAGTTAACCCCATAAGCCACCGGAGACAGTACAAAAAAGTTTGCCCCGCTGAAAAAAATAAAAAAAAGAAGAAAAAACATGGGACGATTCATGTGCCCACCCCCTTGGATATGACAGAATGCTAAAGTCAGATTATTCACCACCCGTGCACTTACATGTAGTTTATTAAAAAGTAAACGTGAATCTTATCACGGGGAGGATACGCATTGTTCGGAATAGCCTCGAAGTCGCAGCCAGCTTTCGTTGCACATTCCCACACTCACTGCTGTCGACCCGCTATTGACTACGGAGCCAAGTTTTTGAACTCGTGTAAGCTAGCGCATCTTCTTCTTCTCCTGCGGAAGACTCCACCGTAACTCTTTGGACACTTGTCTTATCTCAACCGGGAGCTGAGTGTCATACAATGAGAACAGACAAGCAAAGGCAGGGGATGTTAATTCTGACGAACTTGACATGAATGAAAACTACTGATACTATTACTAGGAAGCTCGGCGGCGTTGCTTATTTCACCGCAACACAATGGCCTCTGTGTATTTCATAGGGGCTTTTCTCCTGCTAACGTTGAGCTCTTTCCTGAGGATAAATTGCAGAGTTATTGCTGGTACGTATGGAAAATAACATTCGATACAAATGCCAAGTAAAATGCAGTGAAGTACACATTTGTTTCAATTGTTGTTTTTTACATTTTTTGGGGGTAGGGGCCTACTCAACTCGACAGTACTGTAGTCCGTGTATATTAGCGACCGTCTTTTGCATTTTCAACTAATGATAACGTTTTGGTACTTACATTGTAATACTTTGACTTTTGTTTTAATACGCATTGCGATACGGACTTGAGATGCTGAAAGGGGTGTGGTTGAGTTAGGGTGGGAGTGGGATGGGTTGTGAATAGGTGCATCAGCTGGTTTATCTTTGAAAATAACATTAAAATACATTCTCTCTGTCTCTCTCTCTCTCTTTATTGACTTTCAAGCTTGTTTATATTTTGGATCTAACAGAACAAGTACTTCCTAAAGATAATATTTCACAGTATTAATCTACAGGGCCAAAACAAAAGCTTTGCCTATTCCAGCCTCAAAAAAGAGGTAAAACATCCAAACCATTATTTGTAGCCAAATGTTAACAACTTACACTAAACTAACCTCATAGGTGCTTGCCAAAACAGATTTCACACAAAAAAATTATTTGCTGTAGTTGAAGTCAATTTTAGTAAAAAAAATAAATAGATAAATATATATGTAAATGATTGCATATTTGAAATTTTTTTCAATCCCTTGTGAGAATTTACTTAACTGAAATAAGTATGAAAAGTTTTTTTTTTTTTTGAAACGGCTCCAAAACATGGGGACCTACTTGTATGCTAAGAATATGTTCTATACTTTCATTAATTAAGTTTACACATTTAAATATTTTATTTTCATTTAAATTAGCAAACAAGAACAACCTTCCCATAGTTTATTTAGTTTGTAACTCTGTACCATGAAGTTTTATTATGTTTACTTTGCGTAACTTATGATATCTCTGACATGATGTGATATATTTGCTGTTTGAAACGGAAAGGATTATAGTACACAGTAATAACATATAAGTTGCTGTTTATTATAGGGCAAAGGGAAAACTGTACATTTTAATAGCTATTAAGGAATCATTTATTGATAAACTGTTTAGTGACAATTTTTACTTCTATAATATGAAAACTGCCCTTATATATATATATATATATATATATATATATATATATATATATATATATATATATATATAATGCACTCTGCCACAAAATGAGAGTATTTAACTAGAATTATGCCAGACTAGTTTATATAGTCATATTAACTTCACACGTGTTGAAGCACACTAGTTAATCACTTCAAGTGGATCCTTATCTGTTAACAAACAATGTCGGGATAAAGAACTATAGTTGCTTATCACTTAGGTAATTGCTGAATAATTGGAATTAATGACCTATTGATTAGACTTTGAAGAAGGTATTTTTGGTTATTGAAAAAGGGCATTTTTTAAGTCTCCAAACAACTTAAAATCTCAGCTATTAGCTTTTTATCATTGCACAATTTCAAATAATAGCAACACATTCAAGTCTGTAGAGGCTTTTTAAAGTTGATTGCTTTCTTGTGAACATATTTGATTGTGGCACTTAGTAAATTGAATTTTCTTACAATTCTTGATGAATTGTACTGTGGAAAAATGTCATATGTGGGCCTTGAACTGCAGAAAGGTATGACCTTGTGCAAGTGTATAGAATTGCTTATTTGATATATTATTACTGGACCATCAAATGTTAAATGTAAAGAATTATTTTTCAAATGGTCAACATTTCACTTTTAAAGATACACACAGATTTTGTTATCACAAAGTGGGCGCTTTAAGTGTCCTGGTGTGTAATAATTGACTTGCAGATATATAATACACATCTAAAATAAATGTTAACTCAAGCCCAAACAAATTTACATGTCCAGTTAAAAGTTGGTGCTGGAAGGAAAATGCTGTTAATATTTATTGGTCACCAGGAAGTAACAGGATGCATTCCTCAGGTGAAAACTAGCCTTCAGAAAGACTATTGAAGATATAAATCAATTTCTTTGTCAGATTGCTGAATGAGGGCCATTTTGTATGTCCACATTTCCCAATGCCTAGGACAAGATGGTAAATATAATGTGGATGTTTGCAAATGAAGAAAATCAAGATATTAGCCAACTGTCTGTCTAGGTGAAGACAGTTTCTTTCCTAACTCAAAGGTGGATTGTTTACTTAATTAAAGTAGTTGTTTACCCAGTGCCAACATAAGTGGTGTTTGTACACACTACTCTATAAAACTAGATACAAAAGACAGCTATTTCATACCCTGGCATTGCTGACAGAAATTGGTGTTTATGATTGCAGGGCCCCTACAGCTGTAGTAATTTGAAAAATTCCCACAATTCACATGTGAATATCAGAAAAAAGGGCATTGGCTCATGGTTGTCTGATTCTAGTTTGTATTCAAGGAAGCATTAACATGGTTTATAGCTATTTGATTTCTAAATAAGCTAAACAAAAAGAGATTGTGATTTGTAATGGTGTGATATTGGAAATATGAGGCTATTAAATAAGGCTCACTGGAAAGGATCAATGCACAGTTTCATTTTGAAGAATCGTGATACAGATCTATATATATAGGTGTTTTGATCAGAGGTACATGTGCACATAACCACAAAGTTCTTAAGTCTTCTAAAAAACTTCCTTGTTCCCTTATAAAGTGGGTAGTATAACAAAGCTTACGCTGTAGTTCAACTGCCCCTTTTCAGAGCAGACATTGTTTTCTTGTTGCCATGACTTAAGTTTATTACACTTTTCAAACATAGTAAATGGGTTAAATGTTTTGAAGTAAAACTTGGACCTTGGAAGTACTGGTATATGTATCCAGTTACTTGTATTTGATATTGTGTCCTCATTTTTCTTAGGGTATTGAATGTAAAATTATTACATTCATCAAAAGAGTACATTCAGAATTGTGGAATTAAAAGTAAACATCAGCAGAAGTGTCCATTTGGACCAGTTAAAGGAAAGTTTTTTAAAGAGTAATAGTAGTACATATATAGAGTAGGAAGAACAATTAGTTGGTCTGCTGGAACAAATTTAGATATTTTTACCCATGATTGTGTGGGAAATTTATATGTAAAATTAAACTGGAGCATCTTAAAATAGTCATATTGCCTGATTGATTAAGTGCAGTTTAAAATGTTGTTTGATTCCATGGTACACCAGCTGATAAAGAATCCTAGATGTTTGTTAAGGATCAAAACATTGTAGTAAAGTAATGATGACATAAACGATTAATAGTGATTAGGATGATAATATTCATATTAAGATAGTTGCAACAACAATAATGATGATAAAAGATTGGTTGTCATAATATCTGCTCAAATTATTGACCACTGGAGGTATGTGTTATGAAAAATTAATATGATGTATGCGCAACAGAGATGGTGATACATACACTTATTTGCAGCAAGTAAAGATTCACCATGGTGTTTGAGTTCTACAATCAATTATTATTGATTGTTATCATGAATTCAAAATTCATTCAAGGAAATGCAATGCTGCAGTGTTTTCATTGAATTATAAGAGTGAAATTGACATTTGGTATTTTATGTGATTCAGGAAAAGTATTCAAAACACTAACAACATTTTATGGCATTTGAGTATCTTGCAACAAAATATCACAGCCTGTGCCTTAAAAAATTTGAACTATGAAAGAGAACACCACCCTTTTATAGTGAAGCCAAATAAATTGAAAGAAAAACATTTGGATGGTACTGATTTGAGACAAGGTTATTTTAACTTTTCCAATATATACAAGATTTTGTTTTGCTCTGAATTACTTATGAAAATATACGGTGATTTGTTATATCAAATTTTTAATGAAGGACGATAATATTCATATTTTTAATATTTTTTATTTTTAATGAAATTGGGATTATTTTCACTTCCCTCTCCAAAATACACAAGATTTTGTTTTTGTTTTGTTTTGCAAGACTTGTAGAAAATTATGGTGATTTATTCTTTTTCAGCCACTCCTTTGACTTCAGCTATTCGCCATTATGAGCCATTATATTATGATGTAGAAAGCCTTCATGCAGAACATCACAGAGTGAAGAGATCCAGCCAGAAAAATATTGTATGGGAACTCTCAGCACATGGAAAGTAAGATCCTGTTCCAAGCCATTTGCCAACTTTCCCTATCACAGCAATAAATACTGGATGTTTTAGTGAGACTTGCCTAGATTAAAAAAAAATACTTGGAAAAGCAATATTTTACAAAATAACTACATGCATATTGCTTTTGTTTTATGTTGTGAAAAGTAAGAGTATTGCCAGGAGAAAAAAAAGAGCTAGAACCTATGTTATTTATTATTAGATGATTAAATGGCTCTTAGGGATGAGTTAGAATTTCACCCAAAGGAAAAAATATTCAATATTGAAAAAAAAAGTAAGAGAAAAAAGCAACAAAAGCAAATTTCCAGAAAACAATTAAAATTTTTGAATTGTGTAGTTGAAAAAATATTTTAAAAAAATTTGTTTACAGAAAAATGAAGATTATTTTGAAAAGGGATACCTCCATCTTCACCAATGACCTAGTTGTGGAGACATCAGAGGGACCTGTACATTTGGACACTTCCAGAGTGTATGTGGGACATGTATTAGGTAAGGTGCAACAATAAAATTTTTTAATTTTTTCATCAATTCGTGTATATTGAGAAAAGATTGAGTTTGGACAATTCTTCTGCAAAATATAAGTACATTTTACTGAAGCATATCCCGAATTTCTTTCTTTTCTATTTTTTATTTCTTTATTTTTTTTTTTAATTAAGTTTTTGTAGTAGATAAGAATAGGTTTTTCTCACCAGCCTTGTACAGGAGCCATTTTCATTCAACAGTTTCATATCAATATTTGTAGAAGACCATGTAAAAAAAGGACTGATATAAACAGATGTAACCAGTCCAAAGCATATTCTTTATCCTTATTTTTTACTTTAAAGGGATTGCTTTAATGTCAATATCTATAGTATGCTTAAGCAGAGGTCTTCTCACACAAAGTTATTTTATGTATTTTTATTTTGTCATCTTTAAGCCTTTCCTGAATCAAATCCTTTTAACAAATCTCTTTTTAAGTCTGACGTGTCTGATGTTTTATGAGATTCTGGAAACTTTTAATCAAAAATACCAATTTATATTTATGCTCAGTTATTTAACTTCACATTTGCTTTAAATCTGATGGATTTAAAACAAGGACAGCAGATTTATACCAAGAGGAACGTGTTTGTTTAGTGGATTTTGTTTTGCCAAGTTTATCATTTAGCTGCAGGATGGAGCTTGAAAATGGAAAAATGCTTAATGGCCATTTGGATTACCGTTGATAGCCAGTGTTTGAGATAAGTCCTGCGATAATACGGTCATTTATTATCAGGTTTTTCATTTCTCTGTCATTAAACTGTGGTTGAGCAGTATGGTAAGCTGTGGTTCAATATTGGTTTAAGCTTATTGTGCTTTTGTTGTGACTGTAATAATATTGTGTCTGCAACAATTTAAAAGACCACCTAGGCATTTTTTCTTCTTTTCCCTGTAGATCGATTAACAAAGAGACAAAAAGGCTATTCATATCAGATTGTTTCTGTAGATCGCGGTGCTCTTGACAAATTATTTATTATGGTAAAGACTAGATTTTTTCAATGGGTAAAATTGTGAATTTTACAGATACTTTTTTAAAATCATGAATTATTAAAAGTATAACATTTTGAGTGAGTGATAGCAAAAAAAAAATGAAAAACAGGATAGTCTGTAGTTCTATTTTGTATAGTAAAAACATATAAAGCATAATTGCTGTTTTCTACAAGCCTTAGATTTTGGAACACAAATGCACAAATTAACCATCCTATTCACAAATTAACTTCCCCAACGTAGAATTACTTGACACGAGCTTAGTGTTTCAAAGCATGCACAATTTGGCCAGCAACTTGGCCACAATTTTTTCACCTGCTACACCTGTCGCCTACGAGGGACGATACCCGAATGACAGGTTGAGCTCACGGTCGTTGTACAAAATTTGTCCCAGGTATAATACTATGAAATGCATACTAATAACAAATTATTGGCGAAGACTATAATTTCATTTATACTGCCATATACTGTCGGGAGTCTCCCTAGCTAGAGCAATAGCACACATGTGGCTGCCAGACATACTGTCACCGCTCAGCCCGCTGCGCGCAATCTTTACAACACTCTGGGTATCACTGACCAATCACGGGTCAACTCATTAATTCTTAATTACAACGCGCCCAAAGTACGCGTCCTGCATCAGATCATTCCAAGAAACCGGACAGACAAGACACACATTACGAACAGAGAAGAATAGGACACGCCACACGACAAGATCGGCAGAAGGTAAGGTACTTTATTTTAACTCAAGAACACAAGCAAGCCATAACGTTGGGCACACGCGCACAGGCCCTTTCAAGACTCTAAACAGACATTTTTATTAACTCACTTCGTATCTTACCTCCTCTTCCTCCAAGCCTACACACCATTTGCGGTATAATTATACATATTAATATCATGCCTCCGTTCGTAACATAACAATACCGAGTATCTATGCGCTGTCAGCAGAGACTGGGCGCGAATAATAATAATAATAATAAATAAATAAATAAATAAATAAATAAAATAAATAATAAATAAACATAATAAATTAAAAAAAATATATCTATATATATATGTATATATATATACTAATAAAAAAAAAAAAAATAAATAAATAAATAAATTAATTAAAAAAAATAAATATAAAAAAAAAATAAATAAATAAATAAATAAATAAAAAAAATAAAAATAAATAAATAAATAAAAAATATAAAAAAAAATAAAAAATAAAAAATAAAATGAATAAAATAAAATAAAATAAAGAAATAAATAAGAAACAAAATAAAATAGAAATAAACAAACCCAACAATATTTAATAATGTTTAGTCATCAAGTTATTAAAAAAAAAAAAAACAAAATTTCAATCTGCATACATTTAATTGCATGGAGAAAGGACTCCACACCATGCGTATACAGCCTCAAGGCTTCCTCATAATTCTTTTTCTCGTCTTCTTCTACAGCCTTGGTGACTATGTCAATGGCTTTCTGGAAAGAGATGTGGGCATGGAAATTAGCAATGTACTGTAATAAAAAGAAAGAAAAAATGAAGAACAAATTCTTCATTTACAATTTAGTGCTTAACAGTACATTTGGTTTCTGTGGAGAAATGTCAAATAGGCATAAAGTTAAATGCTCACAGACATGCACAATGTTACTAGCATTCCGTACACAATCTACACAATTAGGAAACTCCAACTTTTTAAAGACTTACTCATGAGAGTGGTCAATACACCATCATCATCAGAAACAATACATGTCTACTTATATTTTGTGTTTTGTAAATATCAGCAAAACTTTGCTCCGACTTCAAAGAAGCAGTGTCAGATTAAGCTGAATAAAGCAGTGAGATGAACGAAAACTGGTAATTGTGACCCGAATGTCGATGTTAGTGTTACGGCAGTATTTTAACTGTCGAGTCTTGTGACCAAGCACTCATAAAAAAGGCAGAACTTTGCAAAACTCTGTGTCATTCTTATGAGGGTTTACTGATGTCAATAACATTCCACATTGACGTAGACTATATCTTGAATGGAAATTAGGATCATACTGGTGATGCACAGGACTGAGGAGCCGGAGCCCTTTCAAAACAAATACATGTAGGTCTACCTCTAAAAAAAGTGGATTTATCAGGAATTTTTTTACTCGC